ACCGCAAGGGTCCATCCTTGGTCCTCTTTTATTTTCTTTATACCTGCTGCCACTAGGTGCTATTTTCAGGAAACATAACATACCTTTTCATTTCTACGCCGACGACTGCCAAATCTACTTCCCCCTCAGACTCAACGGTACTCGCTCTATTCAACCGTTACTGGACTGCCTGGCTGACATCAGAGATTGGATGGCTTTAAATTTCTTGAGTTTCAACGAGAAGAAATCTGAAGTTATGCTGTTTCCTCCCAATGACACAATCACCAACCACTGCATCGACCTATCCGTTCTGTCACCGTTAGTGAAACAAAGAGTCACTAATCTAGGAGTGATACTTGACCCTTCTCTGAAACTCAACAATCATGTAAATATGATTGTTAAATCCTGCTTTTTCCAGCTGAGGCGACTGTCTAAGCTGAAGCCCATATTGTCCAAAAATAACCTGGAGACAGTAATTCATGCATTCATTACATCCAGGCTCGACTATTGCAACTCACTCCTTTTTGGTATCAGTCAGACCTCCATAGCTAGACTTCAACTGGTCCAAAATGCAGCAGCCCGGTTTTTGACCAGCACAAGCAAAAGAGAGCACATTACACCTGTTTTGGCCTCCCTACACAGGCTTCCGGTTCACCTTCGAATCAAATTCAAAATACTCTTGTATGTCTATAAATCACTAAACAGCTCTGCCCCTCCTATCTTACTGATCTGCTCCAGCCGTATGTCCCACCACGTTCTCTCAGATCAGCAGACCAGTTGCTCCTAACAGTCCCAGGAACCCGTCTCAAGCGCAGAGGTGACAGGGCCTTCTCTGTAGCAGGCCCAAGACTTTGGAATGAGTTAACTCTGCTCGTTAGACAGGCCCCCTCCCTCACAGTTTTTAAATCTCGCTTAAAAACACACTTTTATTCCCTGGCTTTCTGCACTGTGTGATCTGTGCTGAGTCTGTGTGCATCACACTGTGTTGGTCATGTTGCGGTTGTTGTTGTTATCCCTTACTGTTTCTGTTGGTTTCTACTTTTTGGTGTCCTGTTATGTAATCTGTTGCTATGTGCTTGTTCTGTTTGTCCCTGTACAGCACTTTGGTGTGCTTTGTCACTGTTTAAAGTGCTATATAAATAAATTGGTATGGTATGGTATTCTTCTCTCACTGTGAACAAAACCCCGAGATACTTGAACTCCTCCACTTGAGGCAGAACCTCACCCTTGACCTGAAGAGAACAATCCACCCTTTTCCGATTGAGAACCATGGCCTCAGATTTGGAGGTGCTGATTCTCATCCCAGCCACTTCACACTTGGCTGTGAACTGCTCCAGTGAGAGCTGAAGATCATGGCACGATGATGCCAACAGGACCACATCATCTGCAAAGAACAGAGATGGAATCCTGAGGCCACTGAACCAGAAACCCTCCGCCCCTGGCTACACCGAGAAATTCTGTCCATAAAAGTTATTAACAGAATTGGTGACAACGGGCAGCCCTGGCAGAGTCCAACTCCCACCCTGAAGGGGTCCGACTTACTACCGGCAATGCGAACCAAACTCTCGCACCGCTTGTATAGGGACTGAACAGCCCGTAACAATGGGCCTCCAATCCCATACTCACGGAGCACCCCCCACAGTGTACCCCGAGGAACACGGTCGAATGCCTTCTCCAAGTCCACAAAACACATGTAGACTGGATGGACAAATTCCCATGATGCCTTGAAGATCCTAATGAAGGTAAAGAGCTGACCCAGTGTTCCACGGCCAGGATGGAACCCACATTGTTCCTCCTGGATCTGCGATTCGACCAACAATGGTACTCGCTTCTCCAGTGCCCCTGAATAGACCTTACCAGGGAGGCTAAGGAGAGTGATGCCCCTATAATTGGAGCACACCCTCTGGTCCCACTTTTTGAAGAGGGGAACCACCACCCCAGTCTGCCAATCCAGTGGCACTGCCCCCGATGTCCACATGACGTTGCAAAGGTGTGTCAGCCAAGACAGCACAACAACATCCAGAGCCTTAAGGAAATCAGGGCAAATCTCATCCACTCCTGGAGCCCTACCACCCCGGAGCTTTTTAACTACCTCGGCGACTTCAGCCACGGTTATGGACAAATCAACCCCAAAGTCCCCTGACTCAGCTTCCTCCATGAAAGACATGCTGGTGGGATTGAGAAGGTCCGAGAAGTATTCCTTCCACCTCCCGACGACATCACTGGTTGAGGTCAACAGCTCCCCACCTTCACTGAACACAGTGTTAGTAAAGTGCTGCTTTCCCCTCCTTGGCTGCATTATGGTTTGCCAGAATCTCCTCAGAGCCGACCTAGAGTCACTATCCAAGGTCTCACCGAACTCCTCCCACATCCGAGCTTTTGCCTCAGCAACAGCCAAAGCTGCACACCGCTTGGCCCTCTGGTACTCCTCAGCTGCCTCCAGAGTCCCACTAGTCAACAAGGCCCGATAGGACTCCTTCTTCAGCTTGACAGCCTCCCTAATCTGGGTGTCCACCACTGAGTTCGTGGATGACCACCGAAAGAAGCACAGACAACTTTGTGGCCACAGCTCAAGGCAGCTACCTCAACAAGCGAGGTGCAGAACATGGCCCACTCAGACCCAATGTCCCCCACCTCAGCTGGGATGCGGTTAAAGCTCTCTCGGAGGTGTGAGTTGAAGATCTCTCTGATGGGTTCTTCTGCCAGGGATTCCCAGCAAACCCTCACTACACATTTGGGTCCACCCGGTCTGTTTGGCATCTCCCCCTACCATCTGATCCAACTCACTACCAGGTGGTGATCAGTTGACAACTCAGCTCTTCTCTTTACCCGAGTGTCCAAAACAAATGGCCGCAAATCAGATCATACAACTATGAAGTCAATCATCGATCTATGACCTAGGGCGTCCTGGTGCCAAGTGCACTTATGGACACATTTATGTTCGAAGATGGTGTTTGTGATGGACAAACTATGACTAGCACAGAAGTCCAACAACAGAATACCACTCAGGTTCAGATCGGAGAGGCCGTTCCTCCCAATCACACCCCTCCAGGTCACACTGTCATTACCCACGTGGGCATTGAAGTCCCCCAGCAGAATAAAGGAGTCCCCAGCTGGCGCACCTTCCAGCACCCCTGCCAAGGACTCCAAGAAGGCCAGATACTCTGAACTGTAATTCGGCGCATAGGCACAAACAACAGTCAGAGCCCATCCCCCACCCGAAGGCGAAGGAAAGCCACCCTTTCATCTACTGGGGAAAACTCCAACACAAAGGCACCAAGTCAGGGGGCTACAAGTAGACCCAAACCAGCTCGACGCCTCTCACCATGGGCAACTCCAGAGTGGAATAAGGTCCAATCCCTCTCAAGGAGATCAGTTCCAGAGCCCATGCTGTGTGTCGAGATGAACCCAATTATATCTAGTCGGTACCTCTCAACCTCGCACATAAGCTCAGACTCCTTCCCTGCCAGAGAGGTTAAATTCCATGTCCCAAGAGCTAGCTTTGGTATGCCAGGGTCAGAGCACCAAGGTCCCCACCTTTGGCCACTGCCCATGGCATCATGCACCCGACTTTTATGGACCTTCCTGCAGGTGGTGGGTCCATAGGAAGGCAAACCCGTGCTGCTTCTTCGGGCTGAGCCTGACTGGGCCCCATGGGCAGAGACCTGGCCACCAGGCGCTTGCCGATGAGCCCCTCCCCCAGGCCTGGCTCCAGGGTGGGGCCTCGGTAACCCACGTCCGGGCAAGGGATACTGAGTTCCTTGTTTGGTTTTGGCCATAAAAATCTTCTGAATCGCTCTTTGTCTGGCCTGTCACCTAGGACCAATCTGCCTTGGGAGACCCTACCAGGGGCAATTTCCCCCGACAGCATAGCTCCTAGGATCATTCAGGCTCACAAACTCCTCCACCACGATAAGGTGGCGATTCTACAGGTTAGTCTCACTGAGCCTCGAGGACTCATTTACAAAAGAGACCTGATTTAACAAAGAACACAGTTGAAGAACAGACGACAATAGACGATCATATAAAAAGCATATAAAATGTAAAATAAATGTAAGAAATTAAAGAAACAAAAACAGCTCCATTATAAAGTGATGTCAAAAACTAACATCAGTAACATGTCTGTGTTGGTTCTTGCCATGAACTTAGCAGATGTTTAAAATCCCTTAGAGTGGTCAAGGTCAAGAGCTTGAGATCTTTTTGAAGAACCCACTGAAGGTTCTGTCAGAACCCACTGAAGGTCTGAATCAGTCCTGACACGGCGCTCAGAGTTTGGGTCTTAACGGTCAGAATAAAGTCTGGATTATTTTTCCAGTGCTTCTGTAGAACTTTATGAAAGCGAAAAACCACAAAGAGAACCTGAAGTCAATCCACAGGTGATGTTTGGAGTTAAATATATGTTCTGTTTTTGACTTTCAGACCCGATGCATGGCCCGCAGCGGCTACAGGTCATCGACGTTCAGTCCAAACAGGTGACAATCCGATGGGAACCGTTTGGATACAACATGACTCGCTGCTACAGCTACAACCTGACGCTGCAGTACCTCTACAGGTCTGTAGGGGGCCACAGCAGGTGAGCATGGGGAAGGGCCCATGGGGTACAGAGCTGGGGTCCAAGGCTATGGGCAGGAAAGGTCCAGAAGTAAATAACGGTTGAATGAAAAAAAAAAGACGGGGCCAGTTGTTAACCACAAGAAGGGGAGGGGATAAAACAGGGGAAAGGTGTGTGACCAGACAGTAAAAAATTTCATGATTGGGGGTGGGGGCGCACTGTCAATAGAAAAAGGGGATGGGCCTAAGAGGTAGTCAGGTAGTTGTGACAACAGTGGGTCTCACAGGTGAACCTGAGTTTGTCTCCTACAGAGATCCAGTGAAGGAGCAGGTTCGAGAGGAGGTGGTATACGACACTCTGAGCATGGTGCCGCAGCACACCGTACGTAACCTTCCGCCATTCACCAACGTCAGCCTGAAACTTGTCCTGAGCAACCCGGAGGGTCGCATGGAGAGCTCAGAGCTGCTGGTGCTGACGGACGAGGACGGTATGAGTCTCTGAGGTACCTTGAGGTTTGTTCTGACCGAGCGTCTGCCGGTAAATCAAGGTGAATGTTGTGGTTTCAGTTCCCGGCGCCATCCCCATGGACACGGTTCTCGGCAGCAGCTACGAACAGCAGATCAGTCTGAGCTGGAAGGAGCCGCTCCAGACCTACGGCCTGATCCGGCAGTATGAGGTGAGACACTGACCAAGAATCACAGTACCGTAATATGTTCTACTTACCAGACTACAAAACAGTATACAAATACTGTCAGTCTATGAGAGAATAGATTGTTAGTGAAAAGAATTTTATGCTATGTTGTTCCTCTCCACAGATCTCCTACAAAGCTCTGAGCTCCTTCGACACAGAGTTCGACCTGTCCAATCAGAGCGGCAAGGTGTTCAAACCAGCTAATGAGACGAACCACATGTTCACAGGCCTCTACCCAGGCTCCACCTACTCCTTCACAATAAGAGCCTCCACTGTTAAAGGATTTGGCTCCCCGGTCATCACACAGTTTACCACCAAAATCTCAGGTGAAGTCCCCTCAACCTGGTCCCTGGGTCCACAACGCACAGCCACAGACAGTGGGGGTTGTTGAAACCCCCCAAATCAGTCCACTAGTTCCTCTTTCTACAACCATATTGTTTTATCTCTGACCACACGCTCCCGTCATCTGCTTCTTGACCTGAGGGGTCACATGGGGTTGGCTCATGATTGGATCACAGCTGGCTTACAGTAGAGTCATGGTTGGGTAACTACTGGGTGACCATTGGGTAACTATTGGGTAACCACTGAGTAACCATTGGGTTACCATTGGGTGACCATTGGGTAACCATTGGGTATCTATTGGGTGACCATTGGGTAACTATTGGGTAACTATTGAGTAACCATTGGGTAACTATTGGGTAACCATTGGGTGACCATTGGGTAACTATTGAGTAACCATTGGGTGACCATTGGGTAACCATTGGGGAACTATTGGGTAACCATTGGGTAATTGGGTAACTATTGAGTAACCATTGGGTAACTATTGGGTAACCATTGCATAACCATTGGGCGACCATTGGGCAACCATTGGGTAACCATTGGGTGACCAGTGGCTAACCATTGGATAACTATTGGGTAACCATTGAGTAACCATTGGGTAATTGGGTAACTATTGAGTAAGCATTGGGTGACCACTGGGTGACCAGTGGGTAACCATTGGGTAACTATTGGGTAACTATTGGGTAACCACTGGGTGACCATTGGATAACTATTGGGTAACTATAGGGTAACCATTGGATAACTATTGAGTAACCACTGGGTTACCACTGAGTAACCATTTTGTGATGATGTCTTCTTCTCTTGCTCAGCTCCTCTGATGCCAGCCTACGATCAGGAGCCTCCTCTGAACCAGACAGACTCCACCGTCACAGTTCTGCTGAAACCGGCTCAGAGCCGCGGAGCCCCTGTCAGGTAACAGCTTCACCACACACTCAGCGCCACGCTCAGTCACTGGGACCCACAGGGATCCGGTATCCTCGGTAACAGTCGTCATGTCAACAGCTGTCTGGGCTCCATGGTGGGGCTGTAACGAGGGATTTGGTTAATTAACTAGCAGCAGGCGGGACTCATCAGAGCCTGCTGCTAACACGAGGATTAACAGGAGATTAGCAGCTAATATGTCAATCAAACGTACGCAGAGACCGAAGGATTCCCTCCGCTGGTTTGTCAGCACGCTCTTTAGCTTTCACTGTCCTGATGCGACTCGGTCCATGTGCTGTCACAGAAACATGTTGTCTGGTAGTGGTTTACATGAGGACTGACTCAGAAGGAGAGGTGGAGTTCTCCACAGCTGCAGAACCACTTTATGTTCTGAAGGAACCGCAGAACTTCATCTTTCTGCTCCAAGAGGACAAACTCAGACAGCTGCTGAGAGGTTCTCACATTTATCTGCAGGAAGATCCTGCAGGTTCCACTTGATGTTGGTGTTTAAATTTAACGCTGCTTTGTTCTCGACACCAGAACCTTACATTGCAGGACAAAAGGTGCTGCTGCAGGCGACCTGCCGCTGTAATCAGATTACTGTCACACACACACACTCGAGTGTGTGAGGAGAAATGATTGGAGATGGTTTGTCAAAGACAGAAGAAAAGAAAGAAATATGTGAGGAGGAAAACAGAAGGACAAGAAAGACTGGATCAGTTCTTCTTTCCGCAGGGCCTTAAACACATCTAACTGTGCTGTGTTACAGTGCACGTACATGTGTGTGTTACAGTGCACGTGCATGTGTGTGTTACAGTGCACGTACATGTGTGTGTTACAGTGCATGTGCATGTGTGTGTTACAGTGCACGTACATGTGTGTGTTACAGTGCACGTGCATGTGTGTGTTACAGTGCACGTGCATGTGTTTGTGTTACAGTACACATACATGTGTGTTACAGTGCATGTACATGTGTGTGTGTTACAGTGCACATACTCGTGTGTTACAGTGCACGTACATGTGTGTGTGTTACAGTGCACATACATGTGTGTGTGTTACAGTGCACGTACATGTGTGTTACAGTGCACATACATGTGTGTGTTACAGTGCACGTACATGTGTGTTACAGTGCACGTACGTGTGTGTGTTACAGTGCACGTACGTGTGTGTGTTACAGTGCACGTACATGTGTGTGTTACAGTGCACGTACATGTGTGTTACAGTGCACGTACAT